AAGGAAAGAGAGGGAAAACAATGACAAAGAACAGCTAGGACAAATAGAAAACAAATAGGACTATAGTAGATTTAAATCTTAATCATACCAGTAATCACATTAAATATACTCCAATAAAAAGGCCAAGATTGTCAGACTGGTCAATAATCAAAGGACCAGGGTTGGGGAAGTTGCTCAGTGATCAAATGCTTTCCTAATATTCATGAGGCCTGGTTCAACCCTAGTACCACAAGAAATAAATAAAAGGTAAAATGATCAACTCATGTTGATTTCAAAAAACCCACTTTAATGATAAACAGGTAAAATAAAAGAATGTGAGTTCCAATTCTAGTACAGCAGAATAAACTCTCACTGGACTGATCCTCTGGCAGGTAACAATTGAAACACCCAGGAAAAACAATCTCCCCTCCCTTCTCTCTCACTGCCCCAACCCACTTAGTATACTGCAATGTAAACAAAAATATCCACATCTGGAAAAGAATCAAAACTTAATCTGAGGACAGAGTTCAAGGCAATCATAGCCACTGAAAAGTAAAGGAATAATACCAGAAAGAGCCAGGTGGGGGAACCCCAAATTGTATGCATAAACTCTACCTAAACCAATAGCTACCTCCAGAACAACACCTATGTGTAAGAAACTACAGCTAAGGACAAAAGAAATACTGTATTCTAAGATTTCAGCTGCACTCCAAGAGACAAAGATTATTGTCAGAGTCACACCAAGTAAATTATCTGCTAAAACAAAAATATCAACACAATTTAAGAAAATAGAATAACTTCTGGTCTCCAAAACATAACTTTCCCAATTTCTAAAATATAATCTAAAATTAAAATTATTCAACATATAAAAATCCAGGAAAATGTGACACATTATCAACAATAAAAACATCAACAAGGGAAAGCAAGGAAGATAACTCAGATGTTGCAATCAGCAGAGAAAGATTTTTAAAGTAGCTATTGTAATCTATTTTATTTTAGATCATGTAGAGTGATATAAAATATAACTCAGGATCTTTAAAATAGAGAGTACATTCATTAACAGAGACATGCAATAGAAATAAAGGGTTTGTAATTTTCAGATCCTGGGGGTTACACAGGACACTTGGAGCCTACACACAGAGGGGTCAGGGAGTGCAGGCAGGTAGAGAGAGGGACCAGAGGGCCAATACCCATAGAGTGTTGGGCTTAGAGTGCTATCCTAAGAGGCACCTCGCTGGAGTTTCAAGTCAGGCTATTTGCTATAGCAATCTGCACAGCCCATGAGCTATGTGACGCTCAGCAGGACCAGTTAAACAGACTGCGTCTCACTGACCCATAAGGAATGGTCACCAGGGAGCAGTGGCATAAGGTAGACACCTGGATGCACCACACCAAGGAACTGGGGAGATGGGAGGGTATTGAGCTGGAAACTGCATCAAAGGTGACTGAGCTCGGTTTCTGGTATGAGAAAGTCAACTTATATTTAAAATGGATGCTGAGGCAACATAAAATTATGAGCATTCAGTACAACCTGTAATTTAAAAAAATAATATCAGCAGAAAACCGAAACTTACAAACTCTAGAACTAAATGTCCTATTAAATAAAGCTGAAGAGCAGGATGAATACAACAAAGAGTCCACGAACTTGAAACCAGATCAACACAAATGATCTAATCTGAAGTGTAGGAAATAAGATTGAGGGCAATATCAACAGAGCCTCAGAGGTATGTGGCATAACATCAACAGGTCTAATATATACATAGTGTACCTGGAGTTCAAGGAGGAGAAAGGGAATGGCAAAATAAAAAGTACAGTTATACTGCTACATTCTGAAAAATGCATCATTAGGTGATTTTACCACTGTGTGAACATCATACAGTGTACTTAGAAAGTCTTAAGACAGTTACAATGTCACTAGAAAATATAATCTTACAGAACCACTATTGTTTATGTGGTCTTTCATTGAGTGAAATATTATTATAGGGCACATGACTGTATCTGAAGAAATAATAATTGAAAATAATTCCAAATTTGATTAAAAATATAAATTCAAGCAGCTCAGCAAATTCCATAATAAATACAAAGAAAATCATATCTAGATACATCACGGTTAAACTGCTAAAAGCCAAGTATCATAAGACAATCTTGAAGACAGAGAAAAATGACATGCTACACGTGGAAAATGATTAAAACTACACTTACTTCTTAAAAATCTAGATACCATGGGGCCGGGGATTTAGCTCAGTGGTTCCACCACCTGCTGTGCAAGCGCAAAGACCCGAGTTCAATCCCCAGTACCAAAAAAAAAAAAAAGAATCTAGATACCAGAAAACAGTTAAAATGCTTTTTTAAAAGTTCAGGAAAAAAAAGTCAAGCCAAAATTCAACAGTCATTATGTGCATAATTTAGTCTGGGTTATTATGCTACATTAGTCACCCCTGTGACTATTTCACCTTACTACCTAAAGGCCCCAAGGATATTTTCCTTAACTTTAAAGCCTTAAAAAGGGTATATAAAAAAAAAGCCTTTAACAAAACCCCGGGCCCATTACACTAAAGTTCTCAGGATAATAGGAATTAACGGTGTGGAAGACAGCCCTGAGATGAGCTTGGTTGACCTCCCCTACCTGGCCCTTGCGCCCTGGTATAACAGCTTCACTCCTCCTGGACAGAACACAGCAAAAGGGATGGGAAGTCATTTCCAGGATCCAGTTAGAAAGAGAGTAGGCTCCTGTCTTTCGTAGCCTCTCTTACCCTTTTGCTTGGTTGGTCTATAAAAACTTCAGTCGCTAGGTTGTGATCTACCCTGCAGAGAGGGCAAGTGGCAGAGAACAGAGGGAATCCTCTGCTTAATCAGTGGCTGGCAAGAAAGTCATTCAGTCTAGCAGCCAGCCCACAAGGAACTGAATCCTGCCACAACTCAGTGAGTGAACCCAGAAGAGGACCCTTCAGATGAGACCATTGCCTCGGCCAACAAACTTGACGGTAGATTTGTGAGGAAACTTGAGGCAAAGGCAATCAGCTAAACCATGTTCAGAAAATACAAGAATGTTTATTCTTTTAAGCCACAACATTTGTGGGTATTTTTTTGTTAAGCAGCAATAGATAATTAATACAGATGGATATTGGCTTAACACAATAGAGTACATATACCTTAATTCCAAAACCAGCATCTTTCCAAACGAGGAAACCCTATAAGGACTCCAGCACACCTCATTCTGAAGGAAATAGCCAATACAATTAAGAAAGGATAATTAAAAGCATAGGACTTGGGAAAAAATAATTAATATTATCTGTATTTTCAGACATGAGAGGATATCTGGAGAACTCAAAGCAGTGATGGCGAACCTTTTAGAGACCAAATGCCCAAACTGCAACCCCAAACCCACTTATTTATTGTTAAGTGCCAACACTGCAATTAAACCTGAATTCTGAAGGTTTAGTTTAGAAAAAAGCAATTCAGATATTAAATCTTTTGTCTTAAAAGACACACAAATAACACACATGCCATAGGTTTGCCACCACTAGTCTAAGAATCCATGATATGACTGAAATAATATAAGATTTCGGCAAGATATCAGAATATAAAGTTAACAGGCCAAAATCAATGCATCCAGTTAGAAGATACAACAAATGAGAAAACTCATCAATGATGGCAAAATGAAAAGATAAAAATATTTTGGAATAGACTCTAGAACTTTGAAAACCTATATGAAGACTAGAAAGCACTTAAAAGAACAAAAAAAAATGACCTAAAAAATGGAGGGCCAGGGGTGTGGCTCAGAATGCTTGCTTACCATGCATGAGGCCCAGAGTCCAATCCCCAGCACCACCCAAAAGGAAAAAAAAATTCTCTGTTCTTAGAGATACACACTGAAGTATTCAGGGACAAAGAAAGAAAGAAAGATCCAGGATTATCTAACTTAGTTTTCAAAACTGAAAGAAAGAAAAGAAAAAGAAAGACAGACAAATGTACAAAAAGAATGAAGGCAAAAACTTGACAAAGTAAATGCAGTAAAACACCACCAAAATGCTAAATGGAATCTAATCAAGAGGAAACAATCAAATGCACTTTACATTGACCTTTTTAAAACATAAATTGGGATAATTTAAGTATGAACTGTATGTTAGACAATATTGAATGATTATACTTTCCTAGGTGTGATAATATTATATCTGCAACTTACTTTCAAAATATTCAGCACAAAATAGTTTCTGTGTGTGTACACCAATATCTTGGGGCGGGGATACAAAGTTAATATAGCAAGATATTAAAATTGGTTAAATTTAGGTGAAAGGTACATGGGTATTCATTGCACTGTTTTCCAACTTCAAAGGACTTGACAAAAGGAAATGACAGACTCTAAATATGAAGAGGAGGTACATACAAGGTTAGCTTTCTTTCCTTTATCTCATAAGAATCATAACAAATAATGAAAAGAACAAGAAATGTCAAAGCAAGTCATCTTGTAATGAAACGAGAGGGCAGCTAGGAAGAAAGAAATATAAGACCTAAATTTATCTTTCTGGGTGTAAGTTAACAGACACTTAAAGTTGATGCATTACAAAGCAAAGGTATAAACATATTATTTAGCATTATAGAGGTAATCATCAAAATAAAACTCATTCGGTATGCAGGATGCAGAGAAAGACAATTTCACTGTATCCTTTAAACACGTTTTATCATCTCATTGTTTATACTTAGTATCAAATGGAGTAATAACAAGCATAGATTTCCCCAATTACGTTAACTATCTAAAAGTCTCTATGACAAGGCACTCTTCCCAGAGAAAATGCATTATTCATCAGCGTCAGTACCTTGAGATGAGACACTAAAAACACAAATTTAAATGGTAGAATACTTTAAAACACTATTGCATTCAATGAAACAAGGCTACCTACAGGAGCAGCATGACCACAAAACCAAAAAATAACATTAGTACATCAAAATGACATAGCCTATTATTTCAAATAAAATTATTTCCATTCTTGTTTTTTAAAAGTTTGAATAAACAGACTCACAGTTCCACAAGGTTTGGAAGCTTCTGAGCAAGGTTTTCTGGCTGAAAATTAAAAACTCAGAATTAAATTTTATTTTTGAAAAATGTATAAACATTTGTAAATTGCTTAAACACAAAGCACTACCTGCTTGAAGGGTACAAATTTTTGAGAAAATGTACAAGTAATAAATTGGCAGGTCTGGGTTTCAGCTTACATAACTGATAAACTTGAACACTTAGAAGCCACATCCCAGAGAAACCAGAACCCTCACATTCCAGTCATGGAGGAAAGTAAATAGGCTAACAGACACAGTCAGGGAGAACACCGCGTGTGGACACAGCTGGAGACCAGAGAGACGCAGCCCAGACACCCGCTATGCGGACTGCTGGCAACCCTGGAAGTCGGGAGAAAGAGCCCCAGATGGGACCAGCCCGGACCACACCCTCGTTTTGGACACTTGGCTCCAGAACTATGAGGGGATAAATGTCTTCTGTGTAAGCCACTCAGTTTCAGAATTTTGTTACAGCAGCCCGGAAAGGTAACACACCCCGAGCTCCCAAGTCATGTTCCTAACAAGAAAGTACAGGCATGAAGTCCACAGGGCCCCAGGTGTTCAGACCTAAGGAGGTTTAGAATGAACAGAGGCTGGGCTTCCTGTGGTCCAAAGGAGGACAGAGGGTCAGGCCTTATGGAAGGTCCTGAGACTAAGGTAGAGGCGTGGGGTGGCAGGGAGAGGAAACTGGCTTGTGGGAGAAGAGCCCTTCTGTGGAAGTGGAAGGGATCCTAGAACAATGCCACTCACAGGCAGAAAGCAGGCTTCCTTCTGCAGGAGGTCCTGGGCAGCAGGAAAACTCCTGTAAATACCTGACAGCCATCCTAATACACAAAAAATCTCAATCTCTCTCTCTCTCTCTCTCTCTCTCTCTCTCTCTCTCTCTCTCTCTC